AGCCAAGGCCGAGTAACAGACCAACCCAACCAGGTTCCTCATCCAACAAACATAAAACCACTACCTCCTGGCCTAAAGACCATCCCACAAAGCTTCCATCTCCGTAGAAAACCAACAAAAAATAAACTAAACCTACAGGCGATACAATGGTGGGGAGGAGGCAACCAACATATCTACCTCTCACATCCACATGCCAGGCTGTCTATTCTATGAATCCACTTTGCCAGTTGCCTCCAAAGAGTGTACCGGTGAGGAGGACCTGTACCTGCTACCTCTTCTCCAAATAAATCAATACAAATAAAAGAAATACATAGAGGTAGTAACAGACCAAGAAGGTCAGTGGGACCTATCTCCCATCCATGGTGCCTTGCCTCCTCTGCCACACCCAAAACTAGACCAAAGAAATCAAACAAACTCCACATAACTCTGCATGCAAGGTGCAAACAAGTCCAACTAGGTAATTGCAACCCACTATCCGCACAGGTGGCCATCAGCCAGCCTGTCTGTTAGGATGCCTTGCAACACTCAGCGGCTTCACCTAACAGCCCAAGGCAGACAGGAAATACTTAATTAAACCTCGCCCAACCTGAAGCAGGCTCAGCCGGTGCTCGTATGTGCCTCTCTCCCACAAATCAGCATCCTCCACGCCCCACACACCTGATGTCACAGGGCCCATCCAGCCCCCTCAGCCACTCAGACAGATCAACCATCCCGCAACTACAGAACAGCCTATACCTAACTCTATCAGGAAGCTGCTAGCTTTGGCCACTCTAACAGAGCCTCAACCCCTGACATTGTGTAGCCGAGGCAGACCCACCAGACACAGCTGGGAGCCACAAAGGAGACAGCACCAATACCCAAAAGAACCAGCACCAGCTACACCATCCAACCCAGTCAAACTGAAGTCCAACCTAGTCAGGAAAGGCTAAGCAGAGCCAGCCGAAGCCAGCACTACAGGTCCTGCAACAGGCACAAACTAAATAGCAGGTAAGAGGTGCCTCCAATCGATGCAACAGGAAGAGGGAGGGCAAGTGAACAGAAGCAGAAAAACAGAAGGTAGGTCCCACTTGCAATGGGTGAAGCTGCCAACCACAATCCACAGCCGAACCTCCTAAATACAAAGACAACATGCATGTCTGGCAGTCAATCGTCCAACACCACCCCAGGTGACAACAGCTGCCCAGACGGTAAGAATTTTCACTGTAAAAGTTATCCCCGCCAAAGCGAGGAGGTGATACCTGACTAAACCACTGTAAATGCCAACAGGACAACTCCAAGAGAACAGTAATAAACAACATTGTAGGATTCCAACTGTAGAAAGATAAGGTAATAAGGAGGAGCCAGGTGGGTACTACCCTGCTACCTGGGGATTGATGTGGCCTGTACGATGTAGTGAAGCAAGAGAAGGTCATCAGTCTATCCCAAGAGTGTTTTGTATAGCGAGAACTAAGAACTCTATTAAAACCCAACAAACATGAGCTGGCCCAAAGAACGACACCAGTGATCCCCCCAAACATAAAATTCTGTCCTCCGCAATTGAACGCAAAACCTACGAGTTGACAGTAGACAGGAAGCTGAAGACATTTTACCAAAAGGATCTCATAAGTAACTGTGATGAAGTGCTTGAAGTGCAAGCATCGTGAGATAACCATCAAGTGACGAAATGGTACAAACAAGTATTCTGCCATGTAACGCAAATAGACCTCAACACCAAGAACCCCTGGAACTACTGAGCAAACTCAGATACCTCCCCCAATATCCCCTGCATCAAATCCCATCCAGAATGTGAAAGTAACATTCCGACTTGAAGCGATGGTAAAGACAAGGAGAAGTTCTTAGAACAAAGCAAGAAGAACCTATCCTCCTTAGCCATATTGGCCTCCTTATATAGTATTCTTCCCGCTCCAAGTCATGTGACCCAAAGTGGTCACATGTGCAAAACCAAATCATAACAAATAAATCATATAACCGAAGTGGTCATATGCTCGAAACCCATAACCTCGTAGCATTGTTATGTGTAAAAACTCATAAACCAATCATAATACAATAAACAAGGCACATGACTCCAAGTAGTCACATGCGTGAAACACATGACCTCATAATGAGATAATATGCCAAACATAAACCATATGTGTAAGGTATACCTGCCAAGCATACCTGCAAGGCACACTCGCCAGGAGCACGTCCCATAACTCATACTTGAATCATATGTGAAATATTACAAATCATAACATAACAAGTTATATGACCTGAATGAGTCATACACACAAAATAACAACCTACCTATGACTCATAATCATAAATCATGTGAAATATTTTCCTTGCCAAGCTACATTCATGATACTAATAGACTTTACTGATAGTTACAAATAGGTACAGGAATGCATAATAGTTGCATTAAGTATCCCCAATATCGAACAACAACTAAAGTCCAGTTATATAGAACAACTTGGTATTGCCAACCCAGAGATTATCTGCCAATCTGGTAGAATATCTTCCTGCTAATTAGTAGGAAGTTATCCAGAGAATATCTGTCTATTAAATCTGGAGTTCTGGAGGTTTAAAGTCAGCAACTAAGGAAGATTGCATCTATGATTACCTCTACAGACATGACTCACAGATGAAACTAATCATTTCATCAATAGGAGAGACAATTGGAGCCAACACAGTTCGAACTGAGAACTAGGCCAGAAGTCAAGTAACTTCAAAGATTAGATAATTACTATCAGAAACAGTATACCCCCCAAACAGCAAAAGCATAATCACATAAGCAGAAGGTGTGATGGTTTTCAGGGACTTCTAGTATTCGTACTTCAGGAGAAGACTCGATGGTACAAGTATTGTTAAAGAGGTATGTGATTTGTATAAGAAATGGATGTAGTCTGTAAATCCTCAGATATGCAATATAACTATCAAAGTACCTCACAAGCTTTTAGATATCATCAAGTAGCCATGAAGAGATCTGAACAATATAACCTTGTTCACAATCTTCTATTCTACTTCACTTTACTCTTTGTAGTCATAAACGGAACAAGTACCTCCTTGAGCCATTCTAGACAAATCTTTATCTATAAAACGAATCTTAATTGGCCTAGACGAGTCTGAGTTTATACAGATCATCTCTGCCTAACAATGAAGCTTACTATGCAAAAAAATATTCCTTGGTGTTGAGTACCAATGCATAGGTTCTAACAAAAATACATTCATAATATTATTGTAATCTAATTAATAAAATAGTATAACAATTTTTAAACAAGAATATAATTTGGTACCCAAAAAGAAGTAGTTATTCCTATCTTAATTGCCATTGACGAATTAAAGACTAAAAAAAATTACTGATAATAAAAAATCAAAGTTTTAAAATAGCACAGTATTTTTATATGTAATCAACACTTCTTGAAAATTTTAGTTTAATAGAGAATAAAAAACTGAGAATAAGTGAAAAATACGCAGTTTTTCTAACACACTAAATAGGACCAAAAGTTGAATATAACATGTACAACAATATTGTCTTGCTTACATAATGTTATTAATCTTTTCTAACATATGAAGTTTCAATAACTACATTAATATAGTTTAATAATTATTGATATTATTTTAGTATTTATTTCTCTTGAACTTATCTACAATAATTAAACAAGCTCAGTCTGTCAAGACTGGAGAAACTAACCAGGCTAGTATAGAGGATTACTTAATCTCTACTGCTATTCTGTAAAATATTACACAACCAATTACTAATACAACTACATCTGAGGAGCTACAAGTGACTAAAAAGAGAGAAGAGAAAGAGGAAGCAAGTGTTGGAATACAAAGCTCTGGTCTACAAGGGGTTGAGAGGAGTAATCTGCCTCAAAGATATAGTGTCCACTGGGTTATAAAAACAAAAGATTACCTAACACTATGTAGTTTGATCTTAATAGCAAATTTGAAATCCTTGTTATAAACTGGAAGGTCTAAATAAATATTTAATACTTTCAGAAAAATATTAAAGTTTTTTTTTAATGGTACAGTATTGTGGTATGAGTGTAGTTAAGATAAAAGTTATTGTATCTCCAACCCTTTTTTGAGGGGTAACTACCATTATAAACCATTTTTCTCCACATTTTAAAAATGCCCAATAGTTAGGTTTTAACTTATAAAGGCCTATATATCCTTCCTCTTTTCTCAATACCCCTTCTTGCTATCAGAGTATATTTCTTTTGATAGTGGAAATAGTTATCTTTATATTTCTTTTCTGAAAAAGCAATTTAAGGCAATAAAATCAGTTTAGTATGATACTTACAAATTTTTCTTCTATTTTCTTTCCTTTATCTTGTTGTTTCAAATTATTTTGTCTTTATTTTATCTTTTTACTATTATAATAATCTATCTTTTTTATAGTTTGGTTCATTTTTACAAAAAGTGACTATAGTTCAACTATATTGCATTTTAGTGGTGGAAATTTATCTTAGAAGTTTGTACTACAAGGTAGCTCTCATTTATCTATTACTCAACCTTCTCTCACCAAACCGTGTTTGTTCTATCTTGAATCATTTTGTTTTCATTTATTCCTCCTTTCCTTTATCCTACAATTTGATAGAAAAATATTTCACCTGCATTTGTAAATATTGAAGTTGTGATCAAAAATGGAAAATCTGATGGGATTTAGAACTCATCCTGTGCAAAGCAGGTTGGTCTTGTTTGTAGGATACATCTCAAACTGTGACATTTTTTATTAGATCCTCTCCGCATTTTCAAGATAGAGAGCTCCAATACATATTAAGATAAGATACAGTACTTTTTCTCGTGATCAAGGACTGCACGGCCTATTTCTATCAGTTCTGACATCGCGATAAGTTACCAATATTATACGCGTACCAGCGCTCATACTAATTTCATTTTTTCCATTCCGAGCTTACCTTCTTGCCCACCTAATGTGCCCAAGCCACGATAGGCTGCCCATGAATGATGACGATGGACTAACAAAGCCAGCTCTTTCTTTGGTCAACTTGTGACCAATCGTTCGTTCCTCATACCACACAATCTTTGCAAAAATCACCAACCATTTCCTCTCCATCATCACCATCATCACCATACCTTTGTGAGGAAGGGCTGCTGGAATCCACCTCCTTCGCTTGAAGATCCTCTCTGGTCGAGGAAGTGTTTCTGTGCGCGGTTCATATTAGTATTGAGGTTTGTGCTTCGCATTTCCATACCGTATCATATCATACCCCGCTCCTTATCATTACCCTGCAGAGCCTCATACCCCCTTTTCCTTTAACTTTGATGCGTCGAACTTTAGATGAAGCCCCCCAATATTATCCTTCGTACCCCCAATCTTTAACCCAACAACTGATCAACCCTATTCTCAATTTTAAGTTACCATACTCTACTAGCACTCTATCACAGCGACCTGAATCCGCACCCCTCCACCACACACTAGGATGTTTGGATCTTCCGTAATAACACCACCCCACTCTTACTTCTCCTAGTTCCTTGAGACGTGCAATTTCTGTCATAGCTAATACTAACATTCACAGAGAAAACCCTTCTCAGCTGTAACGGTACATATCGAGAGGCTCACCACCGAAGACTACGACGAAAACGATGTGAGCGGTATTCCAGAACTTATCGAAGCTATAAAGCTTCAAGATTCTGGACCAAGTGAGGCTAGTCGGGCCATCCGCAAGAAGCTGTAAGACATCCTTTGCCTGCTAACCAGCTATGAGAAACATGAATAAAAACTAACGAAATTCCTACTATCTAGCAAGTATGGCAATGTCCACCGTCAGCTCCGAGCCCTAACAGTCTGTAAATTCTAAATCTTTCTGCCCATCCCCTTATGCTAATGCCCCCATAGATTCTCGATGCTCTTATTGGAAATGCTGGTATCCGTTTCCAGCGCTCTTGTGCTGACGAGCCCCTTCTTGAGCGTCTTCGAGTTGCTGCAACGGATACCATGACTGATCCAGATGTCAAAGCAAAGATCAAGGTCCTTTTCGGGCAATGGGCACGTGAATATAAGGATACACAGGGACTCACTGGAATTGCAAACCTTAATAAGCAACTTCCTCAGCGCAAGAGGGCGAGACCTCAGCCCCAAGTTCTTCGTGAAACCAGTCCTGACCCCGAGAGGGCTACATCACCAGACCACCAGGCTTCTAGAAGTGGGCGCGCACCCACGTCCCCCAAAGTTCCTACTTCGCCAAAACAATCACCTATCACCATTGGCCCGTCTGCCGACCTTACTAGTTCCTCTAAAACACACAAGAAATCCAGCTCAAAAACAAAGAACAAGGCATCCGAATTCAATCTTGAGAAAGAGAAACCTGCGCTTTTACAATCCCTCGCGAATTCCTCCGTTGCTTCCACAAACCTCAAAAACTCATTGAAGCTCATTAACAGAGAAAAGGACCGACCTTCCGAGAACGCCGAAGTTCTCAAGAGGTTTGAGACATGCAGACAGCTTAGACGGAGCATTTTGAGATTTATTCAGCATGTGGAGAGTGAACAGTGGCTTGGAGGTCTGATCCATGCTAACGAGGAGTTAGTTGAAGCGTTGACACTCTATGAAGTCCTCAATAAGCCCATTGAGGAAGATTCTGATAGTGAAGAGGAGGACTGGAACTCCCCTCCAGATAGGAACATCGATGAGGTTAGTTCCGGCATGGGAAAGGTGCGGATGCGTGGCCAAGGGGATGAGGACAGACCGCCATTACCCAATACACCTGTTAGCACCAGTGCCAAGGGTAAAGGCACCGATTACTCGCACCCAAGCGAGCCGGAGGGAGAGGAAGAGGAGGATCCAGATGACCCATTTGGGGATAATCAGTATCGCATGGAGGAGACTTCATCAACCGAACCTTCTGGACCGAAGTGGTGAGTGAAGATCGCTAACCAATGCAAATTAGAAATTCTAACATTTCTCAAGGCGGGTGGTTTAGGGCCAATCAGCGCCCCTACACCACGCTTTATTATTCTTGAGCACTTCTCAAAAGGCTTCCATCAAAATCATTGTCCTCATCGTCTATTTCTTGCTCGCTTTGTCAACACTTTGTTGGTCTAAATGGCCATCTAGTGTGCGTGAAATCTCTATTTCCGGGAATAGGTGGTTCCTTCCATCTAACTCCCTTTTTGTTTATGTTCCCTACCCTATCTTCCCCTTTGCCTTAAGCCACCAGAACTCTCTCAAACCGCAGTATGAATGTAATTCAGCTGAAATCCTGTATAAGCACCCTAAGTGCTCTCCTATGCCCCTAGATGCCTGGCGTGGGTTTTTATCAATGACACCTTAGCGGTAGTCTGCACCACCGCGCCCTTGCGAGCATGTGTCAATAGTCTGAAACGAGTGTGATTGGGCGTGAACTTGTGTGCCTGCGTTGGGTTCCAATCAGATTGATCTTCGGTTCCATTGCTCAACGCGGAGGGTGTGGTGCCAATGCCTCGGGAACACCCGAGACCCCATGATCGGAGATCGGCACTGTGTCATGTGTGGTCTTGCCAAGACAGCCCCGCAAAAGCTCTAGTATGATCTGATAACCCCAAAAAGCGTCGTCCCTGAAACATCCCGCAATCCTTTTCTCCCTACCCCGTTGGTACCGCTGCTTCTTTTTTCTCGCAACCCTACCCCAATTACCGTATCATTTTTTGTCATCCCAGCCCCTTCGAAATTAACCAGCAGTCTCAGAGGTCCAGGAGCCGACCGCGAATGGCGAGCACCAATACTAAGGCTCAATCTTCCTCCTACTTTGAGTCGACACCCCTCCTCAAGGATGGCAACCACCCGAATCTCGAGTCCCAACCTCGGTCGGAGAACGCACCCACCAACACCTCCCCGTCTACCAAAAATCAGGATGCAACTAACGACCTCCCACAAGAACTCTCTCCCGCCAAACTTTTCATTGTCCTGCTAGCAGTTTGGGCTGGCGTCTTCCTTGGTGCCGTCGACACTACTGTAATCACAACACTTCTTGCACCAATTTCCACTTCATTCTCCTCATTCAATTCTATCTCCTGGATAGCAACCGGATACCTTATCGCAAACGCTGCTCTACAGCCGCTCTTTGGAAAACTAACGGATATCTACGGACGTCGATCTGTTCTTGTGCTGTGTAACGTTCTTTTTGGGGCGGGAACGTTGATGTGTGGGCTTGCGAGGAATCAACTCTCCATGATTATTGGAAGAGTGATAGCTGGTGCCGGCGGTGGTGGATTAATGACAATCGCTTCTATCATAGTATCGGACTTGGTCCCCCTACGAAAACGCGGAGTCGCCCAGGGCGGTGGAAATATTGCGTACGGAGCAGGCGCGGCACTCGGTGGGGTCTACGGAGGGTTCATCCATGATTGGATTGGTTGGAGATGGGCATTCCTCCTACAAATCCCATTCATAGCGATTTCCGCTACGTTGGCGTTTGCTTTCGTAAAGATTCCTGTCAACAAGACCGAGGAGGCAAGATATCGAAGGATTGATTACCTCGGCTCAGGCACGTTGTTGTGTTCTCTGGTTAGCCTCTTGCTGGCGCTGAATACAGGCGGAAATACGCTGCCATGGACCCACCCCCTTGTGCTGACATGTCTACCCTTGAGTATGGCTTTGCTGGGGGCTTTCTCGATCATTGAGTTGTGGTATGCTAAGGAGCCAGTTATTCCAGTTAGACTTTTGGGGAATAGAACTGTGTTGGCGGTTTGTTTCACGAATTGGTTTATGGTGATGAGTGTTTTCGCGGTTGTACGTTAGCTCCTGTCCACCCAGACACATGCAAAGTTAATGTTCGACAGTACTTCTACGCTCCAATTTATTTCATCCTCCGCGGCTACTCCCCTGCGCAGGCTGGCCTCCGCCTAACACCCTTCGCCATCGGCATCTCAATCGGAAGTCTAGGGGCAGGCCTCATCACAAACGCCACGGGCAAATATTACATCCTCGGCCAAACAGTCATGCTAATATTCGTCCTGGGCGTTCTCTCAATCTGCACATTTAGCCTGGCAACGCCGCTCTTTCCACAATTCTTCAACTTTTTCATGGTCGGCTCTGGCTACGGTGGAACACTAACCGTAACTCTGCTAGCACTAATCTCATCGGTAGACCGCAGCGAGCAAGCCGTCATTACCTCTGCCAACTATGCATTCCGTTCTACGGGCAGCACTATCGGCACCACTATTGGTAGCGCCGTCTTCCAGAATGTGCTAGTGAGGCAATTGCGGATGCATCTTGGGAGTGGAGAGGAGGTAGAGGGGATCATTCAGAAGCTGAGGGAGAGGCTAGATGAATTTGACAAGCTACCGGAGGTGTGGAAGGGGAAGGCTGCACTTGCGTATATGGATGCGCTGCATGCAGTCTTCTGGACAGCGTTTGGGCTGGGTGTTTTGGCGTTTGTGTGTTGTGCGCATGTGAGGGAGCACACGCTGCATAAGACGTTGGATCGGAAGTAGGGAGTCTGCCGGTGGAAATGTGGAGGTGGTAAGAAAGGTGGACGTGGGAAGCGGAGGAGGGAGGTGATGATACGAGAAATATGACTAGATATCGCCGCCCTTTTAACGAATGTACTATGCCTAACGAATGCCAACTATACCCCCCACCCACCCCTAAACTCGTATTGCAGTGAACAAAAAAAAAAAAACACCACAGCCATCCAAGACACTGAAAGTCACTCACGTGCCACAATGCTACCTGTGCACGAATACTACTACCCTCCACTCTTTCTCAGTCCCCCTTAAACTTCAGGGAAACGCTATTAACACAATGCCGCTCATCCGCCGCGCCGCCGAAGCCTTCCCCTTTGAACACATGCCCCAAGTGGCCGCCACAATTCGCACAGGTAATCTCCGTCCTGCGCATGCCCAAGGCCCCATCCTCCCGCCGATTAATAGCGCCTGGCACGCTTTCGAAGAAAGCCGGCCACCCGCACCCGCTATCGAACTTACTCGTGCTTGTGTAAAGCGGTGCGCCGCAGCCCACGCAGGTGTAGACTCCGGGAGAGGTGTGGTGGCTGTGGGTCCCGCTGTTGGGGGGCTCGGTGCCGCAGGCGCGGAGGACGCGGAACTGCTCTATGGAATGTTAGCTGGTAGGGGGGTAGGGGAATGAGGGATGTGTACCAGGGGAGAGGATCGCGCGCCATTCGTCGTCGGATTTTTGGACCGGTGGGTTTGTACTTGTGGACATTTTGCAGTTTGTTTGGTTGGTGGTGGAAGTGCTGAAGGACGAGCCCATTAACAGTAATCTTCTGGGAGCGTTGAGTAGGAATGGGTGGGGCAGTGGGCGGGAGATCGCTGCTTTATACTTGTGGATGGGTGCCGCGAGGTTTTTGCTTATGCTACAAAGGATGCGAGTACCGGCGATCAGGGGGCGCATCTGTAATTCGGAGGGGAGGAGGGGGGAATTCTGCGGTGTACCTGGGGAACCCACTGGTACCAGTACACGTACAGCCGCGGTATTACAAGTACTGTGTCCTATCTTCCTTGAGATCTAAAGTGTGAGGGAAGGCTGTGAAGAGGAGTGGCTTGGCGGTGAGGTCAGAGTATTTGGAATTGGATTTGGAAAATGTGCCTGGGGGGTGTGATATTTGGTGATTCAAGCAGCGGGCGATGGTGTGCACGAGTGCGGTACCGTAATTATATGCACCCCACTTACGGCACAGAGGAGGGGGGTGGTTATGCTGCTGTACCGGGATTTGGATTTGACGATTTGGAATACTTCTACCGGTAACTGTGGGAAATAATAATGTAAAGCACCATTATTGATTACTTGTACTAGCTAGCCCGCCGGTTCTGTGCTCGCACAGAAAGTCCCTATGAATGCCTTAGCAGCAGAGGTGTCAGGGTGTCCTTGATTCTGCATCATGGGTGCGACGAGTACAATTAGGGTAGTATCCCAGAAGAGACCCCTTGGATCGCCAGTCTATATACCGGTACTAGACCTCATCCTGTTGTCAAGGAGAATCGGAGGCCTACTGGCACTGGTGCCGGAGCTTACTTGTACTATATGGTACACGTACGAGTACTCGTACAGTATAATATGGTGAAGACCGGCAAACTATATCATACTTGCAGGTCTCGAGATACGTACGCAAGCACGTAGTCCAGCACTGTCATCTACACTAATTATATCCTATCGTGCTCGTACATAGCTTATTATGCTTCCCCAACCCCCAAGAATCGGGGAACGTCCCACAACGGGCGGGATACGGAATGGGAGGAACTTGAAAGGGGGAGAGGCTCTCATTCGCCACCACATTGTGTGGAAAGAGGAGAAGAAAAATGAATTGCTCTCGGGAAATTTTCGGTCGGTCAGCCTGGGTACCGTATTCCAATTTACGATACTGGTATAGTATGTTATTCATCGGTGCTTTTCGAATACAGCTTCCCGAACAAGGGAAATTTGTCATTACTCGTGCCACGGTTGTGGCTGTCCAGCCACAACCCCTCAAAGCTCACTTGTTCACTTTTGGGGGCGCTCCACTGAGTGCCTGACATCTCAACACCACTTGACAGCTCAACACAACTTTGGAGCACAACACAAGTTTGTGGTTCGAAAGTACTCTGAGCCACACTATCCCTTTGTCGCTACACTGTATATTCAAGCTGAATAATATGATAGTACTCGGGGGGTACCTTAAGTCGGGCGACACCCATATACGGGAACTGGGTTTTTCATACAGCGAATCCCCTTTTGTGGCGTTTTTTTGTATGGCAGACAAAAGTCGGGCGACACCCAGAAATAGGCTGGCGACACCCGAAATGGGCTAGTGAACTCTGAGGTTTGTGCTTCCGCGCCCAACTTACCCTTACCCCCGAGTACTTTGAATTTCAATGGAACTTTGGTACTCCAAGGTCGATTGAAGATCAATCCGTTCGATTTAAACGCCTTAGCGCGTAATACCC